GGTTGCAACTCCCGAGGACCTATCAGGGCCCGTGGACCAAAACAAGCGGTACGAATACCGCGACCACGACTTCAACATCTCCATGTTCTGGGCTCCTTACCTCGTACGCACCGAAAAAATCGACCCGAACGACGACAAGCGTCCCTTCAAGCTCTTTCTCGACGAGTTCGACACCCACTGGACTTCCAGCCTCTCCCCCTTCGACTACCTCATAATCTCGGCCGGCCACTGGTTCTTCCGCCCCACCTACTTCTACCTCGACCGCCGCCTCGTCGGCTGCCTCTACTGCCCGGAGACTAACATCACCCGCCACACGACTGCCTACTTTAGCTACCGCCGAGCCTTCCGCACCGCCCTCCGTGCCGTCACCTCAGACTTCCGCGGGGTAGCGTTCCTCCGCACGTTCGCCCCGTCGCACTTCGAGGGGGCTGCCTGGGATAAGGGCGGGGATTGCCCGCGGACGAGGCCGTATGGGCGGGACGAGGCTAGACTGGTGGACTACAGCCTGGAGATGTACTTGATACAGCTGGAGGAGCTGAAGATAGCACAAAGGGGGAGGCGCAATAAGTTTCGGTTGTTTGACGCGAGTCGGGCGATGGTGCTGAGGCCGGATGGGCACCCGAGCAGGTACGGACACGTGCAGGGGAGTAATCAGTCGTTTGCGAATGATTGTGTGCACTGGTGCCTACCGGGGCCCATTGACGCGTGGAATGATTTTTTGCAGGAGTTGTTGAGTAGAGAAATAGGAGGGGAGAGGAGGTGAGAGAGACCATTATATTATACTTCACTATACATTAGGGGAGGGAACTTTTCAGTTTTCACCACTATGTTATGTTGGGATAGCTAGGCATGTAGAAAAATTTGTGATGTTATTTTTTTGTTATTCATTTACATATGCAAAGAGTTGTTTTCTTTGTTTATTTCTTTCAAAAACATAGATTTTATAACAACAAGAATGGTTTTGAGGAAGCACCTTGAAGTAATTAAGAAACTCATATTGAAAAACAAATCTATAAGTAATAGTGAAATAGACTTTACTCGGTCTTCACTCGAGCTGATGGAACTGGGTGGTTTGGCTTCCTTTTACCTCGGATGGATTCCGAACCTACAAGAACTCAACACCAGAAAAGGGTTCTCCCGGCGAAGAGCCTTCATTGCCTAAGTCAGTATAAGGTTAGAGAAGATGAACAGTGTGAGTGACGGAATATGTAAGAGTATGTGGAGAGAATATAAAATGTAAATTAACGTACCCCTTTTATATAGGGGTGTGGTGTCTTGTTCTCCAAGTCTGTTTGGAGAGTTGACCTTACTGCCCAAGCTGCCCGTCCGTACGATCTACATTTCCAGACTTTCAGGTTGTGCAGGAGACCCAATCATATGTTTAAACTAAATGATAAATAATTTAAAAAATTTTATTTTATTTAAATATATATTGTTATTGATATTAAAAATAAATATAAAAGGATTTATTTAAAAAACCGTACAATCATCAGTCTGATCGACTGGTGTTGATCGGTTCGCGAGCAAATGTTTAATTCAAACAAATCAGACCGATCGTTGATAGGATTTCAAATTTATTCAGTTCGATCAGATTTTGAAAACAATGGATATAACATGATCAATGTTATTTATATATTTATTTATAATATAGTCGTATTGTTTTCTCCTGCATCGTACGGGCCACACTTAATCAACAAAATCTTATATATGCTTTATAAATTACAATGATTATTTTATCAAAGTATAGCTCGTGTGTTGCATGATATGTATACTAGTTACAAAGTTTAGACATTACCAGTTCAAAATGCATATCATAAATAAGTGTTTTTTTTTTTTTGTTTTTGGTAGGAAATCAAATTGTGACTTGTTATAATTTAGTTAGAAAAATATCAATTGCACCTTATTTGTAATCTATATCTATACAATCCAGTTGTGAATTACCTATTTATTTTATTTTATACATTAATAATCTATCATATGTATACTCAGAAAGTAAATACATATACATGCCAAGCATTCTTTTATAGACTAATCAGTAATCACACGATCCACTAAAAACATTATTATTTATACAAAATCCAATAAAGTTTCTAAAAGATATAATATTGTCTAAAAAAAGTACACATTGAACTCACGGTGTAAAAACAATCCTTATGGAATAAATTATTCCATGGTTTTAAAAATTGAACTGGACCGCCCGGTTGAACAGTGAACCGAGCATCATAGCAGTCCAGTCTGAGATGTTAAACTAGTTGACACAAAAACTGGTTAGAACTCGTTTAGACCGTTCCAAAACCAGTATAACCGAATAACCGGACCCAGTTCCAGCGGCCGACCTGCCTTGATACTTTACACCTGAGCAAAAATTTCGATGCTACTTGTGTGGACACCTCACATGCTTTTTTTTTTACCATTGATTTAACATACACCCACATGGATGGACACCTCACATGCTTTTTTACCATTGATTTAACACACACCCACATGGCTCTATGTGTGAGTGTGTGCAAATCATTTGTAAAAAAAAACATGTGGGGGCATTCATTCAATTAGCACATCTGAGCATACTCTGACTTTATCAAAAAGACCTAATGTCTTTAATGTTTTGTCGATGTGGGATTGACTTTTCCTTTTTTTTTTTTTTTTTCATTTTTCTGTTCTTCTTCTTTCCCGTGTAGGTGTAAACTTTGCTTGGGCCTGAGCCAAAAGCCCAATAAACACTTTACAGTTTTATAATTTTCTTTTCTAATATAGCAATGTTTTTCAAAAGCCCACAAACTGAGCAAACTTTTTCGGGAAATTTACATATGTAGACTCCATGTTACATTTATCTACATGAATACGAACTGGATAAACTAAAATCAAAAGAGGATTTATATGTGATTTTTTTTTCACATTTACGTGATTTTTTTTTTCTCACTTGGTGCTTAGTTTCTCTCTCCAATTAATAACATGCAATCAATTCAAACATGTATTAAACTTGCATTAATTTTCTCCCTCTCCATATTAAACTTGCATTAATTTTGGGATATGAGATTTCTCACTGATTCATAATTTTTTATTTCCATATTAAACATGTATTAATTTAGGGCTAAATAATCACAAGCAAAAATAAAATTTGAAAAAAAAAATAAAAAATCTGATTTCAAAATTTCAACAATTAATCGACATCTTTATTTTTAAAAACAAAAATCGTCCAAGCGCCAAAAATATATGTTTAGATATACAGTATATATACAATATATAAACATGATCAGACAGTACTCTAATATTTAAACATGTAAACAATATGTAAATTAACCGTATAGTTATACATAAAATAAACAACATGTAAACAACACTACGAGATAAAACATAATACACAATTCTAAAATGACTCCAAGTACATGTTCAGATATACTGCATATATACATCAGATAAACATGATATGACAGTTTCCTAATATTAACCGTATAGTTATACATAAGATAAACAATATATAAACATTTGTAAAGTGGAATTATACATAGATACACAATTCTTCTAAATGACTGACAGAGGTTGCTACTCTCGAATAGAGCTCTCGGCGAACTTGCCCAACAAAACGATCGCTACTCTTCTCGCACGGGCCCCGCGAATGGCTGATGTTCGTTGAAAAGAAAATGACGGCTCCGTGTTGTTGCTGCTCGGAAACGAACTTTTCGGGAAATGGCTGCTCAAAATTGATGGCGAGACCCATCGGAAAAAGGAAAAAGGTCGCTGCCCTTCACGCTGAAGGGACCGACGAGGGCTGATGCTTGAAGAAGGTCGCCGGCTACTCTCTACTTCGCCGGCAAGGGTTGTGAACAGAAACCGACGGGAGGTCATTGATCGAGGAGGTCGCTGATGTTCGAGGATCGAGGGGCCAAGATGGAGGAGGTGAAGGTGGTGAGGATTCGGGCCGAGTGAATGGGCCCGATCTCCATGGCTTCTCGGCGCTGGCGATGGGTCACTCACGGCTATGCGAGGAATCTGAAATTCGAACCTGCTGCTACTAATGGCGGAGAAGTCGGCGACTATGCTGCAAGAATTAATCTCGAGTGGATACTGCAAATCACGAAAAGGAAAAAGGAATTGCCGCTTATGCTCATGGAAATCACCGACAGAGAAAGATCGATGGCTCTCGATTTGATGAGAGACCTAGATTATTCGGCAATTTAAGGTCTGAAATTTTGGGCGATTCAAAGGGACAACAAAAATTCTCAGATTTGCAGCGTGAGGAAGAGAAAAAAAAAAAAGAAGAAAGAGATGAGAGAAAGAGATTAAAGAACGAAAAAAAGAAAGAGATAAGGGAGAGAGAGATTAAGGAGAAGAGGGTGAGAGAGAGAGAAAGAGATAATTCCTACAATTATGCTAAAGGATAACTTCTATTATTTTATAAAAAATCGTAATATTGAATATAAGTTAAAGAATTCGTACTTTTAATAATATATAGTAGAGGATGAGTAAGGGGGTAATTTTCTCAACTTTTTCAAATATTAGGCCCAAACTTTTTCAAAATGCAAAAGCCCAAACTTTTACTAAAGGATATATTATGTCATGATTACAAATTTGGAATTTACAATGTAAACAAAACTGTAAACAGCTAACAAAGTTCCTACCTAGCACTTTATGTTCATTTCAAATATTTCTCACAGTCCTATCCTAGTCTAGTCTCTTTTTTTTGGGTAGCTAAGCACCGTATTTGGAGTTATACCCCAACTAATTCGTTGGTCGATTCGGGTCACACATCTGACAGTGGTGGGTGAGTATCCCAACAAGGATTTTCTACATTCACAAGAACTCGAACCCGAGACCTTGCTTAAGCGACATCAAGCTGCTTACCACTTGAGTCAACCCTTATTGGTCCTAGTCTAGTCTCTTTGACAAAATACCAAAGTCTAGTCTCTTGAAACTTCGGATGAACGTGGGATACCACACAGTCCAAAAAAAAAGAAAAAAAGATAGATATACTAAATGAAAAGAAAACAAAGAAAAAAAAAAGAGGAAAATTTGCTTTAAAAAAAAGTCTTTCTACTCAAATTTAAAAAAAAAAGTCTTTCTACTCAAATTAATTACCACACCACACATTAATCATTACACATATACACAATCTCATAAAATTCAAAACCACCCCATAATTAAAAAAAAAAGGCCTTTCTTCTTCAACTCATTGTCATTTTCCTCATTCTTTGAGAACCCAAACACACACACACACACACACTCACACACAACAGAGAAACCAAATTCTAAAACAAAAAAAAAAAAAAATGAGGTTTCAAGTCTCGGAACTTCTCATAGGAAACCCTCATCATAAAAAAACATCAAAACTGCTCGCTCCACTCATAGCCCTAACAATCCTTCTAACAATCCCTTTGTACTACTATCCCACCGTTAGAAACTCGTCCAAGAAATTATCCGACACATCGCCGGTGTACGACGACGATACCACGGACAAACCGATCAAACCTTTCGAAACACCTCATCCCGAAGAAACAATATCCGAAAACAATCCAACTAACTGCTCGGCAGCCGCAGAATGTAATAACAATGATCAACCGGCCGCGCCAACCGAGCACCATCCGGTCCGAAAGAAGCAAGAGCGGGCCAATAGAAAGAAAAGAGTGGGCCGTGCGCCGGCGGCCCACCATAAAGAAAGCAACAAACACCGGCCCGTTGGGCCCAATGACCGTGAGATGGTGAGATCGCAACTATTGGACGAGGAGGAATGTGATTTGTTCTCCGGGGAGTGGGTCCCGAATCCCGAGGGCCCGTATTACACGAATGACACGTGTAACACGATACAGGAGCACCAGAACTGCTTCAAGTTCGGGCGGCCCGACAGAGGATTCTTGAAATGGAGATGGAAGCCCGATGGTTGCGAGCTGCCCGTTTTCGACCCGGCCCGATTCTTGGAGCTTGTTAGGGGCAAGTCGATAGCTTTTGTGGGAGACTCCGTGGCGAGGAATCACTTGCAGTCTTTGATTTGCCTCTTGTCAAGAGTAAGTACCTAATAAAAATTAGGAAACTGATACAGTTCCGTTACGGAATCATTCAGTCGGGATTTGTAATAGTTAGATCATCATGTAACCGTCGTGCATAGTCGATGTAACGGTTAAAAACCCGACGGAATAATTTTGTAACGGGACAATAGTATATGTGTGAATTAAATATGCATAATAAAACATATTTAAATCTATCTAACTATATTTTTTTAGCATTAATCAAAGAGGTGAACCAAAAGTAATTGATTTCTCACATCTTGCTTAGTGTGAAAGTGATAATAAGATGTTAATTGATTTGAAAAATAGGAGAATATTGGATTACGCGTAATGTATTAATTATGGTATGAAAGTTTCAGTGATGTACACTTTATTCGATTTCCTAAACGAGGTTTCAATCAATTCAATTAATGATTATAAGAATGACAATAACTGAAACAATGAATGTGATTCTATGTTGGAAATTGATGGGGACGAGCTCGCAATGACCTCCATGGACAAATACGATCGTCTTCCGATTTTAATATGAGTTATTATTCGTATTTTTATTTTATTACATATCATGTATTTGAGAAATGCTATAGTCCCGTTACGGAACCAGTTATATAACCGTTACATCATCATTTAACCGGAAGGGATAGCTGATTTAACGTTTACAAATCCCGACGGAATGGTTCCACAGCATCTCTCCATGCTTTTATTCCTTATTTAGTTGTTTTTACTTTATTTGGGAAATAATTGTTAGTTACCTAGCAAGTTTTCTATTTGTGATCATTGGGTGTTTATTGAACAGGAAAATAATTCTCTTGAGATTTTTATCTCGTTTTCTAGTTTCGTTCGTTGCGCTACACCAGAAATTAATATTATTTCTGGAAATATTTTCACAACTTGGTTGAAAAGAAAAGAATGAGTTATAGGATAGCTGCTCATGTTATTTGAGTTCACTTGTCAATTGTTGGAGTAGAGTAGTCTAACTTAATTAGTTTATATATGTAACATTATATATATTCGTCTAGAATTTTGAGTGACGTTTTAATAAAACTTTGTAACATACGAGATTTTGTAAGATGTTTTTCTAAAATTTAGCTTAGATATTTGAAAATTTTATGTCTTGAAGTGGGATTTAGGTTTGGATTTTGAATGTATATTTTGACTTTGAAATTTCAATATATATCAAACTAGTTTATCAATTATTAATTAGTTTAACTAAAGACAACCATATTATTCCCACTTGTGGCACTTCTTGGACTTTACTTTCTATATGTGATATTTCAAAGTAAAAAATAAATAAATAAAATAATTGTGTCTACTTTTATATAGAAGAAATAAATTTATATATAAATTCTAATAGATTACTAATAAAAAAAAATTAACTATTATTGTTAATTGGGGTGTAGTATTGCCTAGTCATATCATGACTAAAGTATAATAATAAATAATACTCCCTCATATTTTTTTTTTAAATGTCATTCTAACTTTATCAACTATTTGATAAATAAATGTCGTTTTGGATCTTTTATACATATTTTTCCATTATTACCCTCATTTAGTCAATAAATACATTACGCCTTTTCATATTCAATCTTCATTTTTTCTCAAAACATTCATCTCTATCTTCATTAAATAAGGTTATTATTGACAAAAAAAATATTGTTAATTAGCGTGCAACTTCTCAAAACGACATATATTAAAAATAGGAGGTAGTATTTTTTATCAGTCCATTTAATAAAAATATGTGGGACGAAACGAAATAATTGATCAATAACAAATTCTTTTATGATTTTAATTCTATATGTTTCCCTCAAAGTGATAAATCATCAATATTTATTCTAATAGAATTTTTATGTTCCCTACAACTGATAAAAAAAAAAAATTATTATTATTATTTTGTTTTGGAAAGGTTGCAACTCCAGTGGACCTAACAGGACCAGTGGACCAAAACAAGCGTTACGAATACCGCGACCACGACTTCAACATCTCCATGTTCTGGGCTCCTTACCTCGTCCGCACCGAAAAACTCGACCCGAACGACGACGACAAGCGTCCTTTCAAGCTCTTTCTCGACGAGTTCGACACCCACTGGACGTCCAGCCTCTCCCCCTTCGACTACCTCATAATCTCGGCTGGCCACTGGTTCTTACGCCCCTCCTACTTCTACCTCGACCGCCACCTCGTCGGCTGCCTCTACTGCCCCGACACCAACATCACCCACCACACCATCGCCTTCAGCTATCGACGAGCCTTCCGAACCGCCCTTCGTGCCATATCAGCAGCAGAAGGCTTCCGCGGGGTGGCGTTCCTCCGCACGTTCGCCCCATTGCACTTCGAGGGGGGTGCGTGGGACAATGGCGGGGATTGCCCGCGGACGAGGCCGTACAGGCGGGATGAGGCGAGACTGATGGACTACAGCCTGGAGATGTATTTGATACAGCTAGGGGAGCTGAGGATAGCGCAGAGGGGGAGGCACAATAAGTTTCGGTTGTTTGACGCGAGCAGGGCGATGGTGCTGAGGCCGGACGGGCACCCAAGTAGGTACGGGCGCGTGCAGGGGAATACTAATCAGTCGTTTGCGAATGATTGCGTGCACTGGTGCCTGCCGGGGCCCATTGATGCGTGGAATGATTTTTTGCAGGAGTTGTTGAATAGAGAGGTAGGAAGGGAGAGGGGGTGACGTCAGACCATTATATTTTTATACCTTACTAAATACAGTAGCGAATGAGAGATTATATAGCTAGACATGTAGAAAAATTGTGATGTTACACTACAACAAAAAAAGTCTTCTAACAACATAAATATAGTGACCATCTTAATAAGTGTAATTAAAATTGACGTTTTTGTGACATTTTTTAAAAAGTGTTCCAAAGATAAATTTTTAACAACGTTTTTTTTAAAAATGTAATCAAATCATGTCACTTTTAAAAAAATGTCACCGTGTTAATCAATATTGAAACATTTATTTAAAAGTGTAATTAAATTATGACGTTCTATAAAAAAATATCGTCATGTTTAGTAATATGGCGACACATTTTAAAAAGTGTATTAAAATAATGTCGCCTTTTTTAAAAAATGTCATAATTTTTTACTGATATGATAACACTTACCTCAAAGTGTAATTACATTATGACACTTGTACAATTGTGTCACCATTTTTATGCATATAACAACACTTAAGAAAAGCGTAATTATTTAGTTAGTGACATAATTAAACAAGAGTAGCCATATTTTAAAACTTGGTGACATTATTTCAAAAATGTTATTGAATTATGACGCTTATACAAAAATGTTGTTTGTTTTTAATGTTACCAAAAATAGTGTTACGTCAATGGTTTTTTAATAAAAAAGTAATTACACGATTACACCTTTTTAACAGTGTCATAATGCTAATTAATACGACAACACTTAAAAAAATATAATTAAATTATGACGATTAAATAAACCGGTCCTTTTTTAAAAGTATTATGACACTTTTATATATAAACAAAAAAGATGATGCTTACAATTAGGGCAGAAAACTTTTGTCCGAAAGATGAAAATTCGACCAAACCAAACTGAATCGAACCGAACCGTCTTATTTTGTGTGTGTGTGTGTGTGTGTGTGTATGTATGTATATACATTCACTATTTCACTCTCCTTTTATTACAAAAAATAATAATGTTATTATTGTTTGTAATTCATTTACATGTGCAACGAGTTGTTTTCTTTCATATTATACTTACCAAAAAGAAACGCACCCATATTGAATCTTGGTTCGTCGAAAGTCTCCAGCCCAATTTCATCAAAAGTGCATTATTCATATGTCGGAGATTTTCCGATACCTAGACCCCCCTCATGCTTTGGAAGACACACATCATTCCAAAAGACTAAATGAACCTTTTTCGTCTCATCACACCCACCCCACACAAAGTTGCGACATATTTTTTCTAGACCATTAATAATTGCACATGGAAGCATGATAGATTGCATTTCATTAAAAGGCAAAGTGCTAAGGATGGACTGAGTAAGAGTCACTCTCACCACCATCGATAAAGACTCCATGCGCCAACCCGCTAACCTTGATTCCGCCTTTTCTAAAAGATGAAAGTACGTGCTTTTAGTCACACGTCCATGAATTATGGGCATTCCAAGATACTTACCCAAGTTGTCCGTCAGTTTGAAGTTTACAAACTCGCCAACCTAGTTTGTTCATGTGCCTCCAAATTATTGGAAAACAGGACTTGCGTATTTTCGAGCTAATTTTGAGTTTTGAAGCTTCACAGAAAAGGTTCAAGACTTGCTTTAAGCCCAACACTTGATCATCCAGGCCTTCATGAAAAGGAGCAAATGCAAATCATCCACGAACACCAAGACAGGTACAGAGATTGCCCCTCTGCCACAGAGATTGGTCACCACTTTCGGTATGTCAAACAACCTGGAAATTCTTCATGGCCAACAAAGCTCGACTTTGATGGGAGCAATCAGTAAAGTTTAGCCGGTGCAAGGTGTGCGCTGGATTATATGAAACGATGAAAAGAATCATTTCTGGCTTGATCTATGGCTAGGCACGGCTGGACCATTGATCACCTTTGCGACAAATCAACCTCAAGAGAAGAGCCTACAATTGAAGGTAGCCCATTTTTAAATGAGTCTGGTCATTGGAATTGGTCGCCTTCAGGGTCTGTTGCCCGCCTTTGTGCTCCTCCGTATAGCCACAACTCTACCCTCGAGAGTAGAGGTGAGCATGACCGAACCGCACCAAAAAAATCAAAAACTGAAACCGAACCGAAAATTTTGGTTCTGTAGGTGCAATTTTTCAGTTAACCGAAATTAAAAGAGGATAACCACAAATTAATGCTGAGAGTGAAAATTATGGCAAGAGAGAATAGAAATGAAAATTTTCACTTCTAAATTTTAAATATAAATGTTTATGTGATGTTGTGTCCGAAATTTTACTCAGAAAGTGTAAAACTAAAGCGTAAATTTTACTCACTTTATGATATTCGGTGCAGTTCGGTTAAACCGCACCATTCGGGCAGAAAATCAAACTGAACCAAAATATCTGCAATTTTCCAAACCCAAACCGCACCGATAACCTAATTCTTCAAAAACTAGACCGAATACTCGGTTCAGTTAGGTTTCGGCTCGATTTTGCTCACTCCTTGAGAGCGGCGAAAAACGATGATCGAATTATTTGGGCCCTCTCCCCCAGCGGTATATTCTCTGCAAGGACGTTCTACAGTTATTTACTACAAACATATTAGGATCTGAATAAACACCTTTCGAAGCTTATATGGAGACCAATGGCCCACAAGTGGTCCGAAATATTCCGTGGCTCGCCGCAAAAGGGCGATCTTACAAATTTAGAGCGATATCGATGGCATTTATGCAATTCAATGGAGTGCAATTTCTGTGGGGAAAGCGAATACGCGTTGCATGTGTTGAGAGATTGTCCTTGTGTTAAGAACCTCTGAGCTCGACTACTCCCAACTGCGCATGATCGGAATTCTTCGAGCTACCACTGATAGCATGGTTCCGCAGAAATTTGCTTAAAATTTGGTTGGAATTCTTCACAAACTGGAGCATCCTCTTTTCAATAGTAGTTTGGCGATCGTGGAACTAGAGAAACGAACATGTCTTCAACCAAAAAACTTGGAGCTGCGAGGCACATGATTTCAGGTGTTGAATCGCGTTGACAATCATATTCCTTCTTGTGTGCCCCTTAATAAAGTATGAGATGAATCGAAGAATTCTAATATTAGATTGATTCACTGGTCTCCACCAGATCCATGGTCGATCAAAGTAAATACTGATTGTGATTTTGATAATTCCACTGGATTGAATAATGCAATATGGATCCTTCGTGTTGTTCTGGGGAGACGAGTAGCGGGTTTTATCATGCACATTGGATTTTGTACAATTACGGGTGCGGAATTGTGGGGCTTTTTCTGAGGTTCAACTATCGTGGGAGAAAGGCTATCGTCAAGTTATCGTGGAAGTCTATAGCCAATGTGTAGTGAGCATGATCCTTGGCACCGAGAATAATTTTGGACCCCATGAAGCATTAGTCAAGGTTATTCGTTGATTAGCTCAAAGAGAATGGAGCATTATGATACAACATGTGCATAGAGAAGTCAACTTTGCGGCAAACCATTTGGGGAGCTTAGCGACCAACTATCCGATCGGAATCCAGTTCTTGTCTTCCCCTCCCCTGGCTTGGGAGCTTGGTTCGAGCATGATATCATCGATGTTTCTTATCCCGTAAAGTTATAGTTTAACCTTCAGGACTTCGGCTTCCTTCATTGTACCAAAATAAAAAAAAAAAGTTATTTTCTTTGTTTATTTCTTTCAAACCATAGGTTTTATAACGTAATTAAAGAATGGTGTTGAGGAAGCACCTTGAAGAAATCAAGAATATGAGATTGAAAAACAAATCTTGAATAAAATTTAGAAGCATTTATTACATATTTTTTATAATTTTTTAAATTATGCATTAATTGCTTTTATATACACGTTTCAAATCAGATCAAACTGGATATGATCAAGAAGTCTTTTTCCTTGAATAATTTTATTAACATCTACAATAATTTCATTGATATCCATCCTAATAAACTACAAATAATTTTTCATGATTCATGTTGATAATATTTTGGTTGAGATAAAAGCGAAAACAAATTGTAAGTTCTTACCATATTATTAATGTTTTTTCACAAACACAAACTTTTCATCATAAAATATTAATAGAAAATCGTAATAGTTAGGTAATTTTTTCCTTCACATTAATCAAGTGAAATCAAATTGGTGAATTAATTAATATTTTCATAAGTTTAATTATTAAAAGAAACTAATAATTTTTCAAGTTAATATAATATACCATTTAAGAGATAGTTGCAAATATATTAAATAGTTTTACGAATGACCAGATAACAAAATTGCAATAAATTAAATTTCTTTATAATTTCAATATTTGATTTATTTGTATATTAATTCAACAAAAATTAATTTTTTTTTTATAATTTTTCATTTTGATTTCTTTCTATAATAAAAAAGTGTAAAATATATTTTCATTGCGTATTATGCTAAACAAAATATAAAGTAGAATGCAAATTAAAAAAATCTCTTGCTTATAAAAGAAAATTATTTTTGGGCAATTGCTAATCAAAGTTGTTTAATTATTAAAGAAAATGAAATTCTAATTAATAATGACAAAACAAGTTTAGGATAACAATTGAATTAATTGGTTAATTAAAAAACCTACAATATGTTACTTTTTCT